AGAGAAGGGAGTTTCTCCCAGTATCTTGACCAACAAACTACAGAATAAAATTGGCTGTTTATGGGACATTGCTGCGCATAAATTTGCTGCTGTATTCACCCACATTCACCCCATACAGTCACTCCACTTTAAAGTACATCTTGTGAAGCGCTTTGAGATGTCATCGTGACGTGAAAGGCACCATATCAAATCGTACATATTGTATATTAACACTGGTTTAGTGTTACAAACAACTTTAGAATGGGATTTTTCAAGTTTTGCCTTTGTGCATGCTCACAAATAAAGGGATAAAAATTCCATTGAGTGTTACCTGTCAGTGGACCCGATTACTGAACATCCCAGTATCACTGCCACTTGCTCCTTCCTCCACGTCATATAAACTGATCTGTTGTATTTTTCGCTACAGTAACTGTTTGACCAGAAGTTGACCAGAATTCGTTTTAACCTGAAACCATCATTTGTTTTTCAAAAACAAACCGTGGCTGGGAAATGGAAAACGGTGCAATGTGGAGTTCTTCTGAGGTTGAGATTGAGGAACATTGTTGGTAGATAATAATAATAATAATAATAATAATAATAATAATAATGCTTGCTTTTGATATAGCACTTTTCACGTCTTTTAGATGTCTCAAAGTGCTTCACAGAATAGACTGTAAAATGAATTGACTGTATATTTGTGGGCGAAATGCGGCAGCCAATTGCGCACAGCAGTGTCCCACAAACAGTCGTGGATTGAAGTGACCAATTTATTATTGTTTTTTTCTTGCGGGATTATTATCAGGAGCGTGGAGTAAGGAAACTTGCCCAAGGTTTCACCCTGCCGGGAATCGAACCCAGGTCTCTCGATTGCAAAACAAGTGCTCTAACCATTGAGCTACAGGATTCCATGATGGAGTTTTGTGCTTCATCTAACCTCACTGTACCCGAGTCTGATGTCAACCCTAACTGATTGAACTGAGAGAGTGTCTCATTTCCTAACATCCCTTCCTTTGATAAGCACAGACTTCACACCCACTAATACATAGTATATTGAATCTGTTATGATGGTGAGTTGTGTTTGTACAGTGGAACCATGAGAAAGAAGTGAACGTGCTGAAGAGAAAGTGACCTGACTCAGTGGCCTGAGGCTATTGATTTGAGGGAGAGTGTGGTGAGAGCCAGTGAAGTAGATAATGATCCATGACTGAAGACTGTGTTGAGGATAATTAAGATTCTCTTAAGCTTTGGAAATGGCTATTGAGGGGAAAAAGATCCTGCAATGCATGAGTGCTTTTCTAAACACAGACTATAAAGTACTGGCATGTAACTGCATATTTTTAACTTGCCAAAAACAGAGATCACATTTCAAATCACTCCATTCATTGCATGCCTTTCAGAAATCAGAGCTAAATTATTGTTACACACGTACACAGTAAATATCAAACTTATTTTTAATTTGTTCATTTTATGGCGAACAATACCTTCTTGTCAGTGGAACAGTAACCGAAACAGATTGAATAATGTAATGGATTTACCTTACCTTAAATGTAGTTTCAACAAGAAGTAGCTATTATAAGAGGTCATTTCAGCTTACAACAACAACACAAAATTATATTTGTATAGCACCTTTCATGCCGGGAGAACATCCCAACAGCCTATGGTGTGTGATTTACATCTAAAATTGTTGCCAGGACCCAGATGTGGTAAAAGAACATTCAATTAAGTTCTCAATCTAAAATAATATTAGTGAATTTATCAGACAATGTTTGCTGTAAATAGAATGACTTTTTTTACAATTTGTTACAACGCCAGATTTGTCCAACTTTTGACATGTACAGACTGCAAACTGAAACATACATGCTAAGAATGTGGTCTTCAAGTAAAGTGTTCAACAAAAGTTCCATTACAGTGAGCAAAACATAGCAATAATAATAATCCTTGCATTTGATATAGCACCTTATCACGTCATTGAGATGTCTCAAACTGCTTCCCAGAACATTGTAAAGTATATTTTGTGGATGAAATATGTGAATGATAACTCCTGCCACCCCCCCAACCCCACCTTCCATAAATGCACAATGATTATAGGAATAAACGAAGAAATATTGTTTTATTTTATTATTGAGAACTTAGCTGAAGGCTCATGGCACATAGACCCTATGCATAATCCCGTTTAAAAAGAGTAGCAGAGGAAACAAAATAAGTAGCAAAGAAATTTTTTGAACAATGCCAAGCATTTAGTTTTAATGGTCGTAGGAGGAAGAGAAGACTGAAGAAGGCAACGAGTTTCATAGTTATGAGGTACTGGGAGTTGGAGTCGAAGATGATCTACTGCAAGTGAGAGACCTGGGTTCGATTGCTGGCAGGGTGAAACCTTGGGCAAGTTTCCTTACTCCACATGCCTGATAATAATCCCTCCAGAAAAAAAAAAAAAATTGGTCACTTCAATCCACGACTGTTTGTGCGACACTGCTGTGCGCAATTGGCTGCCGCATTTCGCCACAAATATACAGTCAGCTCACATTACAGTCTATTCTGTGAAGTGCTTTGAGACATCTAGTGACGTGAAAAGCGCTATATCAAATGCAAGGATTATTATTATTGTTGTTACTGAATCTTAATTTCAACCATGAGTGAAAAATTACCATGTTCCTTAACGAATGTGGCATGTTAGTTCTGTTAAGAAATATCACAATTTCCAATCTATTACCAAAGACTGGTTGCAGATGTGAAATTTTCTCCTCCCAATCTTGGTGTGATGTTTAGATCACTGGCCGGTTCATTCAGTCATTTTTGTCACTGTCTCGGTCCAGATTTACTGTTGCCAATTACAGAGTATGGCATTTCAGAGTTACTTCCAGGATACCAGCATAACTGGATGAATTTGTTCAGAAGCGTTCCAATTTTCACCCCTGTGTTTGGACGCAGTGGGAGCAAGAGTGGGCAGGATGACAGTCTATTGAGAGTGTGGGAGGAACAAGTGAGGAAAGTTTGCAGGAACAATGAACATATAGCAGTAAATAAAAGTGAAAAAAGACAGAGAAATAGTGGATGGAGCCAGATGTAATGGAAGAATCCTTATCAGATGGCAAGCTTATTTTTGAATCCCATCCAGAGGTCGAAGAGAAGTGCAAGATATTTGAGCGTTATTCAGATCTTGGAATAAAATTGGGTTTTATGGAGAGTTAAGAATTGGTGAGGGGAACACAGTTTTTGGCTGGAGTGAAGTATGTTCTTTAAAATATGCAGAGTTTATTTAAAAGAAACAATAGCAAAATTCCCTGTGCACATCCAATTTACTATTAAATACTTCACATTATACTGGCCGCTTTCCATAAAACTTAATTCACTCTCAATGCTCTGAAGTAAATGCTTTTTCATGCATTGTTTTGCTTTAAAAATAATAAGCAGAGATTAATTCCTATTTAAATTGCAAGGAGTTTTCTTTTTGATAAAATGATAATGTTATTTATTTTTCAGCTGATAGGTTTGTTTCTGTCCGATCTAATTTGACTATTTAATACGAGTCACGGAAATAGTTTAATCATTTACAGCTTTTGACAGGGAGCATTCGTCTGTTAAGTTACTACCTGAAGCTGTTTAACAGTCAAAATCTATCAATACCAACGTAGCTGTCAATCTTACTAGTCCCCTTGGCTGGTTACTGATTTTTGTATTGTTTTAAAGAATTTTTAAAAAATTCTCCCTGTGGAGCGTTAGCTTTACCATATGTCATTCTCTTGACAAAGAAGGTAGAATGTGCTTGGGTTGTGTGGCCAATTGCTGAGAGGTTTGCAGGAATGCCATGATTTGCTTGACTTCCAATGTTACCTCAGTCATTGTAGGACTGTGGGTCCTGACACAAGCTGCCTGAAATTGGTTGCAGGCTCTGCTCTGATTCTTGCTCCTCCATAGCACAATAGGTAGTGTTACATTGACCTGCTGTCCCAACTCACTTTCTCTGGGTATATACTTACAGTTAGGTCGTTTCCTTGCAGTGTTGTCTTTGCAAGTGGCTGATTTGATTTCTCAAGCAAAACATGTTTGATTTATAAGCAAAAATCTCTATTCTGAATGCATTAGACTTCAACAATCTGCAGTTTAATTGCTGTTTCCAAGAAAGCACCCAACACAAGCTCTGTCTGTAATACTTGTACCTAGTAGACTTCTCATCTGAATAGTTTGGCAATAGAGAAAATAACTACATCTGAGCAAAGTGCAAAAGCATTCTGGGTGCCAGTGTAGAAGAGACATTATACTTATTGTGTTGCAGAATCAGAAATTGTCAAAGAGAAGACCATTTGGCCCACCATATCTGTGCTGCCTCTCTGAAAGAGCTATCTGTGTAGTGCCACTCCCAAAGCTTTTTCCTATACTCTCTTATTTAATGTTAATATGTCACAACCTTGCAATCGAAGTTGAAAGCAAAACTAGCTGCTTCATTGCATAAATTCAATATAATTCTCTAAATATTGTTGCAAAATTGGGATATGTCCAAGATTGGTTAAGAGCACTCTGTGTGCATTTCCTTTACATCTCTATGGTTACAGGTGCTTAGTACTGTAGTAGCTTCCATGTCAATGCATTCATCAAAATGTGTATTGGTTGTTGGCATTTCTGTGTTAGCCTGTGTATCCTGATCTTACTGCATCTATTAATGTTGAATAATTTATGTGCACCAAATGTAGCCCAGCTCTGAACCCGCAAAATCTGAAAAAAATGTTGTGCACATATAGCTTGATCTTTCAGTTTGAAACTGATTGGACAAAAAGATCAAAGTGTTCCCGTTGAAGGAATTGAAGCCGAGTATCAACTGTTTGCTTATCCTTAGAAAAATAATTCCGTATTATTTTTAATTGTGCATAAACTACCTTCAGGGCTATAGCCCTTACATCTCAGCTTCACCAAAAAACAGAACACATCGAATTTTTGCTGATGTCTGTCTGTTTTGCTCTCTGAAGTTCCCCATTTGTGAATACATTTTCTGACCAAGTTGAATGTGTGTCTTTCAGAGTTTAAGAATGGCTCAGTCTGAGGAGGACAAGGACTCCCAGTGGGATGCTTGGGGCCCTTGGAGTGAGTGCTCTCGAACCTGTGGAGGAGGTGCTTCGTATTCATTGCGACGATGCCTTAACAGCCGGTAAGAGTAGAGGCAGTATTATGCCAGTATCTAACCCATGAAAGCTTGTAATTTAACCTTGCCTTAGTCTGAGTGACCATTGTATCTTAAGATGTAAGATTACTTTAGCAGTGTGGAAAAATCTTAAAATTCAGTCTTAATTCAGAAGCATAGTCATTAAAAAGAACTAGTTACCAAATTAAGACTGAAATTTAAGTACTATTCCACAATCCCTGCGTGGTATTAAATTCCAAAAACAAAATGGTCTCACAAGCTAAGACCAGGTGGAATTTCAAGCATTTGAAGTGCCTTAACCTTCATTTGAGCCAATGCTGCCAGGGATGGTAGAGCCAAAATAGCAGAGGAGCCAATATCCCAGCAATAACAACCTCCACTTCACGCACAGAATTATTCATAAAGTTAAACTGGAAAAAGAGAAAGTGTTATATAATATAATAATCCTTGCATTTGATATAGTGCTTTTCACATCTTCTAGACATCTCAAAGCACTTCACAGGATATACTGTAAAGTGAATTGACTGTATATTTATTTGTGGGCGAAAAGTGGCAGCCAATTGCGCACAGCAGTATTCCACAAACAGTCGTGGATTGAAGTGATCCATTTATTATATTTATTTATTTATTTTTATTTTTTCTTGAGGGATTATTATCAGGCGTGTGGAGTAAGAAAACATGCCCAAGGTTTTGTCCTGCCCGGAATCGAACCTAGGTCTCTCACTTGCGAGGCGAGTGCTCTAACCATTGAGATACAGGACACCATAGTTGTAAAGTTTGACTAATTTGAATACTATCCAGAATTCGATAAGCAGGATACGTCCCTCTGGGGAGGGAGTCTCATTACACTCCAGATACAAAAATCTCTATGTCTAGGTGACATACATGAAATTCTGAGGTCTGATTTGGGTGACGTCTTAAACATGGTGATGGGTTTCTGCATGTGTCAGATTCCTGTCTGATCAGAAAAAACTCAATAAACTATATTATGCCTATGGACAGGACCACAAGCTGCAGTCTGGCACCCTAGTTACGTCCACAGCTGTAAAGCAAAGGAAACACAAATCTTGTGTTAACAAATCTCAGTAATTAAAGGAAACTGGAAGCCAATTTATTTTTCTCAATCGTGGTGATAACTTTTGGAAACAGTTCAGCCTGTAATGAGGTGAGCGTGTGTATATATGGGTATGTGTGTGTATATATGGGTGGGGGGCAGTGGGGGGATTGTGGGGCACCAACACTATTTATTTCCATTCCAATAAACCTGGGATTTAATAATTATTCAATAAATTGTAGGACATTAGTAGATTCATAAGCCAAACCCAATGTGCAAAAGTAAAACCATTTCAGTGACTGTACACTAAAGGCCACATATAAAATTCCATTACCACAGGAAACTGCTGAAGTCATTTATCTAGAGGGAGTTCATCCCCACCAATGGAAACAAAATCAGAGAGTCTGAGTAACGTTCTACACTTAGTGGCACATCCGTCCAGACAGGTCATTGTTAAACAATCAAAATAGCTGTCAGAAAATGGACAAGCAAAGGAGTCGTAACGCATTTGGGATTATGGGTATTAACAAAGGGAGTATTAAATTACACTTCAGCTACGGTCAACCTTTGTCCCACAGACTCCAGCTCCTAGATAACGAAGGCAAGGGTAGATTTCAGATTTCCATTGTTTTCTTCCCTTTGTGTAATGATGGATACAGAGGCATTTTGTGGACAGGATACATATCAACTGAAGCAGAAGGACTTTCCAACAACATGAGTTTACTATAACTGGATCTAAATGCTAGGCATAATCACTTGAGTAAGAGAAGTACGTGAAATAGTTGAAAATTCCATTTTATATAACCCATTCTTCCATTTTGGCGTGGTGAGCTATTGGGGCACACCATAATGTCTAATAAACATCTTATAGATCTGATAAATGGAAGTGTTTTGCTGAGTGACTAGAAGACCTCTTCAAAGGGCATCAAATGTTTTGATAGCAGCCTCTTGTTTCATCGACTTCCTCTCAAACAGGGCTGTTTTTCTTCACTCTGAAATCTTGCAGCTGCTGTGAGCTGTTTTCAGTGCTGGTGATAAATTTTCATCATACTGCTTCGTTCAGACAAAGATTCAATTCAGCTCTTTGTTTTTCCAGCGCACTTAGAGGCAATGGTATTGAAATGGTCAGGATGCTTAGCTCAGGACTAAACTGTTAAACGTACCCTGGACACCAAAGCATTAGCATTGAAGCGTTAGGAATAAAGCAAAAGGCAATGTTTCCTTTTAACAAGAGGTTCTTCTCAGTGTTGGAGCGTGCAGAAAATAGAAGTCTGAAATGTCCAAAAGCTTTCCATAGGGAACAATCTGTTCCAGAATAATGTGACACACAGGACAAGCATGATATGAAAAGCATATTAAAATATAATACATTCTTCAACTAAAACTTTAAACTAAATCAAGTGAAAAGCAAGTCACATGGTGGAGATCTTTCACTCTTGTCTACGAGCTGACTAACGGGAAGCAATGAACTGTTAGTGGCATTACTGGCGAGTTAAGTAATGACCGCCATGCACTTATGTGACACAAAGCACATAAAAATGTTCCTGGGGTTGATTGAATTTAGCCACTAGACATAATAACACAATTGGAAGGATGTTTCACAGCAAGGGGCATGCTGGTTGGTACGCTTCTGGTCATAATGTTCCAAATGGGAGAAATCCACGCCAACATTTACATTAACAATGAAACGTCCAGGACCCGAAGCAACATCCGACTCAAAGGTGGGACGGTAGCCATGCAGTTCAGACCAGAAGGGCAGCCAGTTGGAGAAGTTTTGGGGTGGGAGTGGAGCACGCAAAATTAATTTTACGCGAATTAATAATGGTGAGTGACATAGAGAAATCATGCTTAAATTTCAGGATTTGCAGCATATGTCAACTGTACTATAAAGCAATCTTTCCACGTGAGAGTAAAATCACCTCACCAGGATCCATAGATTGGGAAGAAATTTCTGGGTCTAGACTTACTCCATTTATCTTGCATTTAAGAGTGCCCAGAAATTTGCAAATTCTTAACCAGAACCATAATTTTGAAGCCAGTTTTCTTTTCAGGGCTACAGAAAAACAGCTTCACAGTTTAGACTCAATTCAACAATTTGTCAAATTCTATGTCAAATTCTAGCATTTATGAAATGCTACATAAAGAAAATCTAGACCCAGGTGGAATTGCTTCCCCATAGACGTTGTGATGTTAGGGCTTAGTGGAGCATTGCTCTTTTATAATAAGAAGTTAATAATAATAATTCTTGAATTTGATAGAGCGTCTTAACATGTCTTCGAAACATCTCAAAGTGCTTCACAGAATATATTGTGAATTGAATTAACTGCAGCCAATTGTGCACAGCAATATCCCACAAACAGACATGGATTGAGTGACCAATTGATATTATTTTAAAAAACATTTTTGAAGGGATTATTACCCCAGAAACATGATGCACCAATCGACTAAAAATTGTGTTTCTACTTTCGGGTTCCTACTTACTGCTAGGTAAACAGAGGCACTAAGAAAACTTGCCTAACATTTCACCCTGGCCAGGAATCAAACTCAGATCCTCCTACTTACAAGGCAAGTGCTCTAACCACTAAGCTACAGGACTCCATGCTACAAGTTGGGTTCAAATTTAGACCAGACTGTTGGGCTGAAAGTTTTGTTTCTACTTGCTGTAAGGGGAAACCCAAAACAAGTTTGGGCAGACTCAATCTGGTTCTTAGTATGTTTAGGAAAGCACAGACTGTCTATAACCTGTCATTGACCTGAAACGTTAACTGATTTTCCTCTCTCCATAGATGCTGTCTGACCAGCTGCATGTTCCCAGCGATTTCTGTGTTTATACCAGATTTTCAGCATCTGCAGTACTTTGCCTTTTGCCTACAATCTATGCCAATTTGGCTCACATGATACCACTGATGCCAGTGATGTGAGTTACTGTGAGATCATTGAATTGTCACTAGTGCAGTCTTTCCGATGGGAAATTATACCGAGTTCCTGTCTGCCTGTTCTTCAGCTGGATAACAAAGATCTCATGATAACCATTTGAAAAAGAAAAGAAGTTTTCTCCTGAAACAAAAGGCAAAATACTGCAGATGCTGGAATTCTGAAATAGAAACAGAATTCACTAGAAACCCTCAGAAGGTCAGGCAGCATCCACGGAGGGATGAAAGTGAGTTAACGTTTCTTGGTTTATCGTCTAATCTAAAGGGATTTTCTCAGGGATTTTCTCCTGGTGCTATTTTTGTGAACAAAACGAAAATCATCCCAGCATTCTGGTTGTCAATCCATTTTTTAGGAATTGCAGAAAGCCAATAGGTTAGAAGGTTGTGGTTTCAATCCCATTGTTGGAATTTTGACCGCATAGTCCAGGCTAACACTCCAGTGCAGTGCTTGGGGTGTGCTGAATTGTTGGAGGTTCAGTTGATTAGATAAGACGTTAAGCCAAGATCCTGTCTGTCTGTTAAGATGGGCATTAAAGATTCCATAGGAATACTTTAAAAAAAGGGAGTTTCTTCTGGTCAACAGTTACCCAAATAAAATTGGTCATTCACTTCATGGCTGTTTATGGGACATTGTTGTGTGGAAATTGACTGCTGCAATTCACCTACAAAATACACAGTGTCTCCCCTTTACAGTATATCTTGTGAAGCACTTTGAGATACCCTCCCAATATGAAAGGCACTATACCAAATGTAAAGATTATTATTATTATTACAGTCAAACTTTGATAACTTGTCATCTCAGGGGAAATAGCTCAAACGACTGCTTATCAGAGTTGACTATTTATCCAAAGTACAGTAACTCAAAAGTACAAAATACTCAAATTGCCGGGATATTGAGTGAGTGAGTAGTTATGTGGGGTTGACTACTTATCCCAAGGGATAGTTATTAGAGTTTCTTTCTATTAATAATAAAAAAATTTAAAAATCAGTTTGCTGTGATGCTCAATTTTTAGCCCAAA